TAGCGCAGATAGCCCTCGTGTAGCTTTGCGCGAAATTCAAAAACAAACTCTCACTATACTTTCGACTATATTTCTTAGTTTATATTCTCTGGGGTCAAGAGCTTACGCGCTAAATTCCATGCATTTTATTAAAAATTGTGGAGGGTTTCAAAAATTAAGTATGCATAAAAGCGAACAGTTGAAATTACTACATAAATAGCTATTCGTAAATGTAAGACAACATTCTGTTTTGAAGAAACGTTTGAAAATATATTTTGAAAGAAAATATTTGCAGGAAAATATTCTAAAAGATTTATGTTTGAGAAATGTAAGCACATATATGTAGTATGTACAAAGAATTGGTACCCTTTATGTTGAATGTTTTAATGGAGTACATTACATAAAGAAAATAATTTGGAATCTCATCACATTGTTACAGTCCATGTTACAGTTTGGTCATGTTCTATCAGAATACAGCGAATTTTGACAATAGCCCTGCAGCGTACTTTCTATTGCAAATAGTTTAGTCGTAAAATTGGCATGTCCAAAGTACACAATTCCTCCCTGCATGTTTTCGACTAACAATCTAATGTACGGAGACGACGGTTTCCCAGCACCCATTCTAACAGGTCAATCGCACAGAAATTCATGGACACTGCATGCATCGACTCTAGTACTATGTATTTGTATGGAAACACATGGATACCCATTTCAATCTCAAGCTGTTTGAAATATGCAATGGAATGAATCAGAAGCATGCCTAGATATCTTATCTTAGTAAACCTGTACTCTTTTTGTCTCGTTTTCAAACGGTGTTACTTCACGATTATCTTGCATACCGTCACGTGGAGGACGTGGATGGCTTTTGCCAATGGCCTTTGTGTTCGTGAATTATCACCTCTTGCTTAACATGGCTTTTGTACGATTGATTACAGGTCTCTTTCTTAATGATCCTGGTTCCTTTGTTTTCCAATGTCATTAGGTACAAGGAATATCCTTGTCTTGAAAATTCTAAATTTCCGATCTGAACATGATCTGACTTTATGAATATTTTGTGTAGGAAAGGGTTATTACATACTTTTCCCAATAAAGATATCAATTTTTAACGATATCACACTACCTACGATACGCCAAACAATGTCATAGTGTAGTTCTGGTGAATGCTATTTCATTGCAACTTTTTATCGGTTGTGACCCATGACTTTCTAATTTGCATAATTAAAATTGTTTCAGTATAACTTACTCAATATTGTACTCGTAATACTAATCACTGAATAGCGATATTGACTGTGACAGTTATATCTTTGCCACAGAAGAAAGTGTTGTGCATGATTAATGGCATATTGCAAATCAAACTTTGGTCTTTTTGATCCATTAAGTCATGCCTGGGCCCTTGAAAATACGTTTTAAAATGCCCAAAGTAGCAGACAATAACTATATTTAAAATTGTGTTATTAGTTTTTGAGATCATATGACCCTTTTAGTTATTTTTAGCGCTCTTTTTGAGGAAATTCTATAATAAATGTGGTTCGTGTGCTTCACAGAACATACATACATTGACTAAATTCTTGTAACCAAAATAGTTCATGTTACTGACAACAAGAAACATAAAAACTTGTTTATCTTCATGATTTTATCAGACTTAAACAAACTGGACATATGGAATGACCTTTCCAGCAGGACTATTATCAACAACTTTTATTCCCATTAGTCATTGAAAATATATAATTCAACAATTTAACAATCTTTATTCATGAAAATACATTCACCTAATTTTGATTTATGATTCAAGATATTGCCTTTCCCATTATAATTCAAAATATCATAGCAACTTTTATATTCATGATCCATAAGGATTATTGTTTCTCGATTATATAACATGATTCATGGAATTACCATACCAGTCTAAAACACACATTCGTAGGAATGTTTTCACCAAACTTTATAATTCATGAAATTGCCTTACTTGTTTTACAACCACAACTATTCTGAATTACTTATCCAGCTAAACAGCATTGAATTAAGAGTTTTTGCAACCAAATTCAACAGTCATAATTTAATGTGTAAGTTTAGTAAGCTAATCCTGCCTCCTCCAGTGGCTCAGCGGTAAGGCTGAAGGCTTATAAAACTAAAAACTGGATTTCGATAATTTGGCGGGTGGCACAGCTCATATAATCCATCGAGTAGCTTTGTACTTAAAAACATACAAATGTAAGCTTAAGAATAATTATTTATATTTTTAATACAACTAGAGTTGATAACAAGCCCCCCCCCCCCCAGTGGTACAGTGGTATGTCTGCGGACTTACAGCACTACAAACCGGGTTTCGATACCCGTGGTGGGCAGAGAACAGATAGCCAATTGTGTAGCTTTGTGCATAATTACAAACAAACAAGATAACAAGGGAGCACAGACTAAATATAACCATACTTGATTTCTACAATACATTAGGGAGGTGGTCCCAGAAATATTTAAACTCTGAAGTTGTGTAACACTTTGAGCGCATCTAATGTGTTGTTTTTTTTTTCGTCCATTTGAGTTAAGAAGTCTGAATGATTTTAATGTTACGAATTTAATGTGCTTTGAATTTTATCTAATTGAAGGTCTCACGCATGCACTATGGATATGGTCCTTCATTGAACACAATAGATCAGTATAATGATAACTTAAAAAATTACCATTTTCCATGATAATGTTACTTTCTCTTCTCGATCTTTTTTCAACAATACTTTCCTCTACGGATAGAAAATGCTGTTCTTTTGTACCCCAAGAAACAGTTAGATGCTTTCTCCTGGTGTCTTCATTAGTGGATTCTTTAAAACCATCTTCCACTGACGCGCTAGTTATGAGAGGACTTTTCTCGTTTGTTGCTTCTTGTTCAGGCAAAGAAGGATGATTACTTAACCATCTAATTTTCAATTTTTCTACCTTTAATTAAACAAAAGAAACATATATTAACAGTATAAAACCTAATACACACAGAAAGGAAATACAGATGGTCTATGATGTTTAAATTTGAGTTCAAAGTTTAGCTATCATCATTTGTCAGATTTATTTAAGCTATTATAATCAATTGTTTGCTATGATCATGCAATATTGTGTAAATATTTATACACTTTCTTAATTCTTGCAAAAAAGGGACAAAATGTGATAAAAAAATTGTATTTCATTTAAATACAATGTACACTTTACATATTTCAAAAAATATTGAATTATAAAAATGACTAACACATGCACAGTATCAGTAAATATTTTTTAGTTCAAAGATAATAAGAATATTTTCGTTCATCCTTTTTGATCTCATAATTAGATAATGACATATTTGGCCATTAATCATGGAAAATGAACTCAGATTTTTTTTAAACGTGTTGACCAATACACTTAATTATATTTAAAAGTAAAAACCGATAAAATTATACCTTTTTTATATGTTTTACACGTTTATAAGTTTACATTGGCCAAGTTAAATCAAACACATTAATAACGTAATTAAAATATCATACATTCTTCAGCAGAAAACAGGTGCAATGTCAGTACATTACTGATTATTTGGTGAGAATGTCTTTTATCAGTTTTTGTAACATCAGTTGTTAGTGGTGGATGCTATATTACATTCAGGCCATGTAAGCTCATGCTCTGCAGCGTTCGCGGTGTTACAGTCGTGCAGGCTGTTCTGATTTTCTGCTTCAAATCTTCCAGGTTAGATGGATGTGTGACAAACACTAAGTATTTGATGCATTACCGAAAGAAAATTCCAATGGTGTAAGATCAAGAGAGCACACAAGTAATGCTACTGGCTCATAACATCCTGTCCATTTGTTGGGAAACACGACATTCAGGTCCAGTACGTAGTGGAATGGAGCACAGTCCTGCTGAAACCAATGTACTCTAATATTTTTTACAAATATACAATGTCTAGACCGACATGTTCCGGAAAGAAAAGAAAGTGAGCGACTCGTAAATTAAAATTGGACGAACATTACGACATTTTATTAAGCTACACCAAATCATCCCTCCACCTACTTCTTGGTCTCGTTTATGCAACTCATTTTAAATTTTATTGGGAACACTATCAGCAATTGTGGCGATTTATTTAACTATTTGCGTAAAACTTTACCTAACCTGTTCAATACATTTTCCGAGTGAGGTGTTCATTCAATTCCTCCTGTATCAGGAACCGTTGATAAATCTTCACTCGACAATCTGAGTCAACTTATTGGCTATGTGCAGCTTGTAAAGATGAAATTATGTTGCTTCGGAATTAAGAGGACGCTCCTCGCTTAATGTGGCTGGTTAACCTCATTGGATTTGCTAAGAGACAACCAGATAGTGTCTGAAAGGTCCTCATCTTTTATTGTAGAAAGATTTCCATTACGTTTACAATAAGTCACAGGACCAATTTAAACGAAACTTGGTGAGCAAAAGACTAACATTCTTGTGAGACAAAGCAATCTCTTGCACAGAATGATTCAAATTAAAAAGCTATCACAAACTGCTGCTATTTCATTCTACGAACTCCACACAATAGGATCATTTCCAAGTGCTCTTGTAAGGTGAATGGCATTCCAAGAAATGATTGTAACACAAAAAAAGAGAAAATTAGTGAAAAACTTAGACAAAATTTAATAAAGATGGAACTTAGAAGATCATGGCAGTATACAACTTCTGCTTCACCCTGTTTTATCAGCGGCAGAGGGAAGTTGGCTAGATGAAATATATGTCATAGAATGGTTTGTTTGTTTGTTTTGAATTTCGCACAAAGTTACACGAGGACTATCTATGCTAGTCGTCCCTAATTTAGCAGTGTAAGACTAGAGGGAAGGCAGCTAGTCATCACCATCCATCGCCAACTCTTGGGCTACTCTTTTACCAGCGAATAGTGAGATTGATCGTTACATTATAACGCCCCCACAGCTGAAATGGCGAGCATGTTTGGTGGGATGAAAATTCGAACCCGCGACCCGCAGATTGCGAGTCGAGCGCCCTAACCACCTGGCCATGTCGGGCCGTCATAGAAAGGAGCTTATGATACTTGTTCTTCGTACATCTGATCAGATCTGTAAAGAGAAGATGTTAGTCACAATGTTGGTGTTACTTTCATAATAATAACATTTTAAAACTTTCTGTGGAAATAAATTATTGTAATAATTCTTGGTTAAAGTTTAGGTCCTTTCTCTGAAAAGACTCCAAACGATTTCACAAATGTTAATATGTTCTTCAGAAATGAGTAATAAGAACATAATATATATGTTTGTTTTGTTTTATAATTTTCTCGCAAGGCTTATAAAAACATTGGGTTTATAAAGATTCCTAAGGCAAGTTTATTCTTGTTTTAGTACAAAGCTACAGAATAGCTGCTATGTATGCTCTATCCACAGCAGAAAATCTAACCCTGGATTTTAGCATTGCAAGTCCGTAAACATTTGCTGATCCATCAGGGACCATAAGGAAAGGAAATGTTGCTCATTTGATTAATATAAATTTTACGTCAGACCTTCTGTTACATTTTTTTTTGGTTTCATATTAAGAACAATATACATAAATAACTTGCATCAATGAATAGTGCATGCTGTATAAGTTTAGATGGAAGAATGTAATAATATAGAGTTTAATTTTGCATTAAATATCCTCAGGTCTGTATCACAATACATAACACCTGTTTATTTAAAACGTATTTATGAAATAGAAAAGAGTTATGAAACCTAATCTATTATTTAAGTCATTACTTGACAGTAGTGCATTAGACCAGTTTAAGGGACTTCTGCCCCTCATCAGTAATCCTGGATGAGGACAAACCAGATATAGCATAGTGACAAGTGTTGAACTAAAGGATAATATTTCTTATTAATATCTTAAACATAATTTCTATTAACTAATCCAGAAGAATATATCAGTATATATTTATTGTTAAGGGGTGAGCACTTAATAGGCCTAATACTAACGTTTTACGACAAGCATAATTAATTTAGTTAGCACATTATTCAAAAACTATATAAACAGAGGTTCAATGTAGTGAACTGAAAACACTTGAATGATAATCTTTTTTAAGCATTTGAAATTTTAGAAGTTAAACCAGACAGAAGAATGAAAAATGCATTGTGACAATTATATTAAGTAATTCGTACGCTAATTTTCGAGATTAAGGTCTTCAAAAGAAAGTTATGTAATATAGGTTTGCATTAAAAACAGATATATGGTTACATTAGAAACTATTTCTTTAATATTGTTATAATCTACATATTTAATGTAGTAATTTATTTGTTTGCTAGAAGGACCTGCATTAAAATTAAAAGGTTTAATAACATAAGCCTTGAACACCTAGAAAGTTCTAGAAAATGTTGATGTCAGATTTTCTAGGAAGTTCGAGCTTAGATTATAAATAAGGGGTTCAGAGGAAATAAAAGATAGTGAATTGCTTCTAATCAATAGCATTAATTTGTCAGTGTGTTTTCCTTTCAGCTATTAAGTTGTACAAAGGTTTATGTTTGACATTAGTGTAATGGAATTATCATTATTTGGAAATATACAAATTACCACAGCTTGTAAACATAAATGAAGAAATAAACTAGTTTTTTCGTTTTGTGTACTGAACCTGAACATTGAATTACTTTATCAGATAATCTAATAGAACCACCAATGAAAGACCAACTTTATAACAATATTATTCCATTTGCACTGAAAACTTAGTTGCAATCATATCTTTAAATATATATATGAATATGCTGTAGATAATTTGCAACAAACACCTTTTGTTAGGATTGCCAGATTATGACATTCGAAGGCCCAAGCTATGTTAAGTTTAAGAAAACCCATACGATAAAAAATTGAAATGGAGTATTTTTTTATTTTTTTTAGAGGCAGCTAAGAGGCTCCATATAATGTGAGGCCCTAAGCTTAGTTAGCGTATGCCTTAATCTGGCACTGTTTGTTAGAAGTTCCCTCTAATTATACATAGTTATAATAGAACTTATAATACCTGTAGTGTGCAAAAACCTTCGATTCGAGTGTTGAAATACATGAGTAATATGTAAGAGAAGAACATGAGCATCAAAATTACTGCTTCCCACCTGTAAATGGAATAATAATACTTCTATTGAAAACAGATCTACCATCTTTCAGTATCAATTTCACCCGTCATATGAAATATATTTCATGCTCTCTTCAAGCAGTTGTTTATGATAAAAGTATAGAACACGACTTCTCTCTGTACATCAGTAGTTATATTGGCACTCTGACGGCGGAAGTGACATGCCACTATAATTATTGTAAATAATTGGCATCACATTCTTTTGAAACTATAATTATCTCCTATTATTTTCATGAGAATCTATCATTACATACTATAATTAGATATGATTGATTCATGTGACCTATAATTATTGTCAATAATTGACATTTTAACTATAATTATCTCCTATTATTCTCGACAATTGAAATAACATCCCGTAATTATCTGTTTGCACCCTTGCTGTCTCTACATATCAAATTTAATAAAATTCGCCTATTTCTCAATAAACTAATGTAAATATATTACATACTTTCTTATTTTTATGCTTCATACTCATACCTTTTATTTTAAATTCCCAGTTTAGAAGTAATCCACTTTCTTTTTTGCTCCTTTGAAATATGAGCAATTAGTCAAATATTAACAATGTTATTGAGTTTCATGTAAAACAAATTTCTCTCATAATTAACATTCTCTGTAAAGTCTAAAAACTTACCATCTTATAACATTGTCAGTTAATACTGCTGCAAGGGCAGCAACAGTTATTGTATATACAAAGGAATCTCGTGACAGCGGGTACCAGTCCAGTGGCACATCCTGTAAGTAAAGAGTTGACATTTATAACTTTTATATAAGGTTTGTTGGTTTGTTATAAATTTCGTGAAAAGCTACACGAGGGTTATCTGCGCTAGCTGTCCCTAATTTAGCAGTGAAAGTCTAGAGGTAAGGCAGTTAGTCATCACCATTCACTGCCAATTCTTTGGCTACGCTTTTTACCAACGAATAGTAGGATTGACCGTCACATTATAACGCCCCCACGGCTGAAAGGGCAAACATGTTTATTGGGACGGGTATTCGAACCCGCAGATTGCAAGTCGAACGCCCTAACCACCTGACCATGCCAGACCATTTATATAACGAACTTGAGACAAGAAAATCTCACACATATAATTGAACATTTTGTTTTCAATTCTATTGAAACTATAACATATTGAAATACATAAATATTAATAAAACAAGTTATTCCTGTTGTGCTTATTGTTTAAAACATTCACAGATCTCATCTATACAAAAATAGAGACGTAGTAAATAAACCTTAGCAAACTGAAAGAGCAACTTAGGTTGAATGCATTATGTCTAAACAAAACATACAGTTTTTGTTTTAATACAATCAAACTAGTTCTAACTGAAATAGAGTCATAGTTATTACACAAAGTCTGCTTCATTCCTTAATAATATAGGTAATATTTATTATAAGCTATAGATTTACGAAAATTAATTTGTGTTCAAAAAACAGAGCATTTATTATAGAGAAAAATAGAATACGAAATTATATAGGTTTGTAAATAACTATCATAATTACAATCAGAAGTCCTTTCATGGAAATTACTACCTAAGTTACAGTCAACATTAGTAAAAGGTTAGGAATTAGTTTGAGCAGGAAAATATGCATCACTTTTATTAGGATTTTTAATTAGATATGGTAAAGCAGGACAAGAATAACATATTCTCTCAAACTGATTTAATAAACATAATATTTTTATCAATACGCTTCCACTCATGCAATTTATCAACATTAAATTTTGATTTAGCTACATGTGTGAGGCTATTCAATTTATCTTAATATCGAAGAAACGTACTCTTTAATTCTATGTTATATGGATTCAGCATGACATATTGTTTTTTATGCACAACTACACAATAGGCTCTCTGAGCGGTGTCCACCACAAGGAATCGAACCCTAGACTTTAGTTTAGTAAGTCCATTATCTTACCACTAACCCACTGAAAGAGAGATAAGTTATTATACTTGTATTTATTGAAATTAATAACACAGAAAATGTTTTAGATTTTCTATTGTTTTTACTAAATGTGTTAAATACTTTTTGAGGCAAATATAAACACTTTTCAATACTCTAAGAAAATAATTAAATATGTCGTTATAATCTGATAGTTTACAGATGTTATTCGTTTATAAAGTAGTCCTTATATAAATAATAAACGATTCAAAAGTTTCTAATCTTTAAAAATAGAACTTATATAAAAGTATGTTGGAAGATGGTTAAAAATAGTTAACAAATAACCCGTTACAACTTGTAAGCTGTTATTTTGTATAATTTCGCATAAAGCTATTCGAGGGCTATCTGCACTAGCTGTCCCTAATTTACTGACATTATAAGGGGATGACAGCTAGCCAACATCACCCACCGCTAGCTCGTGCTCTACTTTAGATGAATAGTAGGAATTGGCCATCACACTCTTGTAATGCACCTAAAGTGCTAAACGCGATTTATTTTTTACTTTTAGTAACACAGTGCAAGCCACGGAGCCTCGGAATTGAAGCAAATGATCTCTAAATTTGAAACCAAATGGCTATTATTCTAGTTGGGAAACACTTAAATTATAAAATAAACTGTTCATTAATAACTAAATATAATTTGATTGATCTCACAGATAAACAGATCATTGTTAATATAATCATATATGAATCTTTCAAATGACTTAAATCTGCACTACGATTTCTATACAATACACTAGTTATAAATGACTTGAATCTGCACTACGATTTCTATACAATACACAAGTTATAAATGACTTGAATCTGCACTACGATTTCTATACAATACACTAGTTATGTTTGTTTGTTTTGT